CCCTGGGGGGGAGCCGGTTCGCTGCCTGCGCTGCAGCATGGCGGCGGCGGTACGCGCTGCAGGCTGCTTGCCTGCACTGTGCAGCCGGTCGGCGGGTGAGCGGGGACGTCCGGAGCGGGGCTTGTCAGCCGGGCTGGAGCAGGGAGGGTGTGCCGGGGACCTGCAGTCGCCTGGCTTAGTGAAGAGGAAAGCCGCAACCCCAGGCTCCTTGCCGGGCTCTCAGCCCGCCGGGGCATGCTGTGTGACCTTGGATGCGTTGTCTCCCTCTCTGGGCTCTGGTCTGCAAAGGAAGGGTGAACGGGGCGCCGTTCATTTAGCTTCTTTCCATGTCTCTAAAGCGCTGGTGTGTGCTGGGCGGACAGGAGCGGGAACTGGGAACCCACTCGGAGATAAGGCAGAAGACCGCCAGCGAACTCCAAAGGGAAGCGTCTGTCATTGTGGGTCTCGCGCTGATCTGTGCTACTGGAAATACGAGCGGTTCGAGTGTCAGTGCTCTTGCTGCTGCTGTCCTCCCCCGACCCCGCTTTGTTGCTTGTGTGCCGGTTAAGGCCAGTCTGCTGTCCTGGCGTAATGTCCACTGTAGGAACCGTGTCGCCATTGATTCGCCTTCCCTTTCTGCTCTGTTTTACTCTAAATCCACAATCCGACTTCTGTAATTCCGAGATCCAAGGACCCCACCCCCCTAAAAACCTGATTCATTTTGCTGCAGAACATGACTCAAAATATTCTGGCTGAAAACCGATCCGAACATACTTACCTTTTGCTGGTGTTGTGACCATCTCCTGTGTTTGCTGGGAGAGGGAGTGCAGGAGAGAGAGAAAGCATCGCCCCAGGGGGATGATCAGGCCACAGGCCCTCCATTCTCCTCTCTGGATGTTGGGCACGCACAGCTGTCCAGCATGTTGAGTTCCCCAGCAGCCAGCTGTGTGGGATCCACCTGCCCCAACCACCACTCACTCCACTGGCTGGCCCCACAATCAATTTTTTTTTTTTAGAGGGTTTTGCTATAGGGCACGAGCGCTCGCCAGAAGGACAGAGCGAGACAGAAAGAAAAGAAAGCAAGAAACCACCCCCCAGGGGGGATGGCCATGCCACAATCCCTTCTCCTCCATTCTCCTCTTGGGATCTTGGGCACACACGCCACTGGGTCCTGGAAGCGAACCGTGGTCGACTACGTGGGAGTCCAGCCTCATAGCCATTATGCTAACTGCTGGTCCCTACACAATCAATTTTAGAATTTCACTCCAAAAAGAAAATTTGTGCCTGACAGCTACCACACCCTTGCCTCCCAATGGCCCTCGGCCCTAGGCAATTCTTAACTACCTTTTTTTGTTGTTGTAAGCCCTTGCTCTTGCCTGGAAGAGAGACAGAGAGGGAAACTGAGAAAGCACCCCCTAGGGGGACCAGCAGTTGGCATAATGGCTAAGTTGCTGGACCCCCATGTAGTCGACTGCGG